TGGATTGTAAGGGCCTGGAGCCCCATACTAGCATGCTAGCTACTCTGGATTGTAAGGGCCTGGAGCCCCATACTAGCATGCTAACTACACCAAATCGTAAGGGTCTGGAGCCCCATATTAGCATGCTAGCTCCACCATATCTTAAGGGCCTGAAGCCCCATAATTGCATGTTAGCTACACCGAATCGTAAGGGCCTGGAGCCCCATATTCACATGCTAGCTACACCGGATTGTAAGGGCCTGGAGCCCCATACTAGCATGATAACTACACCAAATCGTAAGGGTCTGGAGCCCCATATTAGCATGCTAGCTCCACCATATCTTAAGGGCCTGAAGCCCCATAATTGCATGTTAGCTACACCGAATCGTAAGGGCCTGGAGCCCCATATTCGCATGCTAGCTACACCGAATCATAAGGGCCTGGAGCCCCATATTCACATGCTAGCTACACCGGATTGTAAGGGCCTGGAGCCCCATACTAGCATGATAACTACACCAAATCGTAAGGGTCTGGAGCCCCATATTAGCATGCTAGCTCCACCATATCTTAAGGGCCTGGAGTCCCATAATTGCATGCTAGCTACACCGAATCGTAAGGGCCTGGAGCCCCATATTCGCATGCTAGCTACACCGAATTGTAAGGGCCTGGAGCCCCATACTAGCATGCTAGCTACACCGAATTGTAAGGGCCTGGAGCCCCATACTAGCATGCTAGCTACACCGAATCGTAAGGGCCTGGAGCCCCATATTAGCATGCTAGCTACACCGGATCGTAAGGGCCTGGAGCCCCATACTAGCATGCTAGCTACACCGGATCATAAGGGCCTGGAGCCCCATATTAGCATGCTCACTACACTGAATTATAAGGGTCTGAAGCCACATATTAGCATTTTGCAGACTGAACCAAATTTGATACATTCTGTCTGATATGCAACTTCGTCCAGCCTAGTGTACAGTAAGGATTTGACTTTTAATTAATGGGCAAATGGGCAAGCCTCTTAGGTCACAGCATGGGATACAAAATGGCTGGTCAGTAACAGGAATCCCACACAGCTCCTCCAGTGCACTGCCAAAAAGGTAAGGCATGCGCCGATATTCTGTCCTGTAATGCCGCCAATAACTTGGTTTGTCCTTGGACGTTTCTCCATTTTCCTTTAGCGCCCGTGAGGATTTGGCCTGCCTCCAGTGAAATCCAGTCCCAACAAGGAATGCAGAGAAATTAAATCTCTTTTTGAAACAAAGTATGCATTTCTGATTTTAAAAAACTGTTACTGTTTTAAACAACAAAAAATATTTATTTTTTTAATGCACTGCTGACCACGAAGACCATAAAACCATATTCAAAAGAAGCAGTACATAAATGATCAATGCACCTGATTGCAAACTGAGAACAGCATTTTTCATTCATATCAATAGGGACTCATTCTTTAAATTCCACCTAGTATGACAAGTGACCAATATATTTAAAAATTATCCAGCCTCAACTATCATTTACACTTGAGAAAATCATTGATTCAAACTGTTCTTTGGGAAAATCAAACAATGGACTCCACCCAAAAAGATTATTCTTACATAAATTTTACATTACTCACTATCCTTATTACAGCATAATCTTGAGGTTAAGTGTTAAATGTTTTAAATAATTGGTGTTGTCCTTTGTTTCCTAATATGATTTGTTGGTAATCTCTGTGACAAAGCTTCATCATAAAATAAAATCTCCAATAATGCCAGTCACAGCTATTATTTGGGTCTATCTTTAAAGTCATGCCTTAAAATTGTCTAGCGATTAAAGACAAAATGTTCTTCTTTTGTTTACTTAGGCAAGTAAGAGATGTCCCATTCTCAGATGTCACCCCCTACAGGAAGGAGGATTCCACATCTCGTCACTATTTATCAGTGTGAGCCCATTGCCGTGTCTATCAAGCAGTCCTCACACCCTGCTCAGATCATTTAAAAAATGGATACTATATACTACTAAAACAATGCTTTGATTTAGGGTACATGTTCAGATAATAAAACCTCTCCAAACACACACACACACCTGGCAGCAATTCATAAAGAGGACCAGGTTTATAGACAAAGTCTAAAACGGGGAAGTATTCTCATCATTCAAGATGCTGTTGATTTCCCATGAACTACACTGAATGAGATCGTAAGTAAAAGCATCATCATGGCAAATTATTGCCGGAGGAGTTTAAATGATGCCTACTGAATAGCACTGATAAGACAAGCATTGACATTTCCCCACAGAGAAACCATTATGTCAATGTACTGTAATGTTACACCAACCAAAAACAACTATTTATGAGACACTGCCGATCAGCCCTTACCATCTGTAAGCTATACGATATTGCTGCTTTTTGCTTCCATTTCATGAAGGCCCAAGATCCAAATTTGAGAGGCAGATGATGTGAACCATGCCAATCCAAACAGTACGTTTTACAAAGAGTGCCAGTTCATGTTATTTTTATTATACAGGTTTAAAAACCAGCCCTGTTGGAAGACCTTGAACAGCACATGGCATAATAGTGATTCTAGAGCCCCCCCCCCCTCCCCATGACCCCTGGAGGCCATAGAGGAAATGGATACACAACATGCCAGTCAGATCTCGTTTGATGTGTCAGTACAGTTTTTAAGCAGAAGAGATTAAAAGGAATTCCGGCGGCTTGTTATATTATAGCGCTATATTGACCAATTTCTGCGCAGCCAAGCCAACGTGCAAAGGAATCCTCTCCCCATACTGAAATGCACAGAGCCTAAGCTCCACACCAGCAGAGAATTCACTGCCTAAACAAGCACCATGTCATATTTATTGCCCGGACATTCACTTAAAAGCAAAAGTGTCCTCAGACACACGTATCTGGAACAATCATTGCAAGCAAATCAGCCAGCCAAACTGAGCCCCTTCAAACTGCAGAGACAAACTAAGTCCCTTTCAAAAGCAAAGCGTAAATATGTACAAACGTGTACAAAACCCAGCCGAAACCACAACCTGTCACTCGGTCACGTCGTTTTCCTCATCTCTCCAAAGGCCTGGCTTGTCCTTCACATTTCGTAGCATGAAAAGCCCCTTGCGAGCCGATTAAAGGTAGAAATGGTGATTTGTGACAATAATGGCCGCGTCGCAATCTGCGAATACGCCGAAACCCCTTAACCGGTGGCTTTAAATCAGATCGTGGAAACCTTTTTGAAGATCAATAGTCAACGAGGTATTTAACCACCCCCACAATGCAGAATGGACGCAGCCAATATTGCAGCAGAACTTGCAATCAAAGGGGATTCCCTCAACGCAAACAGCGAGTAAATATAGACTATGTATAGGAAAAATAAATATATTCTACATTACCGATGTGTAGGACGGGGAAACCCAGATAGCCATAAACTACTGTGAAACTAGCTACGCGTACTACACCTCCCAATCTGCACTTAAAACACCACAGAGGGAATATTTCCATCTGCGTTACAGGAGCAACTTATGCAAAAGGAGAAAACGCAGGGTGCAGAAAAATAAAGATGATGTGCAACTTGCCCTTTAGAAACTGCGGACGGAGCCCGAGCAGCGACCGGCCTCGGCGCAGTCTGACGCTTCGCGATTTCGCAGCCAAACTCTATACTTCCAGGGGTTAGTTCATTTCTTTCTCTCTTTTTTTTTTTTTTTTAAATAATAATAATTTCCTTTCGCGATCTGAATACAATTGTTGACACCGCGCACTATTTGTTAAAGAGACGGTCACAAAACAAACATTTTTTTGGGGGGGGGGATTTAGGGTATAAGTTACTGGAAATGCGGACTCCGGGTTCCGTGTATTGGTCGAGTCTCCAAGTTGAGTGAAGCTGCCGCTTTACCGAAATCGACTTATAAAGATTATGGCAAGCTTTGAAAATCGCATTGCTTTTAAATTTGCTCTACATTCGTTATAAACATTAAAACACACTGTGACTTATACTAACGGTTGTAGGTTATATAAAAAAGCTCTTAATGGTAAAAGCCACGCTTATCCCGAACGAACTGTTACAAATTTTGCTGAAGTTGAAACATTGTAACTCTCCGGTTTGGTCCCATCGACGACTATCAGTAGTGTCAGTATAAAAAACTGGTTAAACTCATACCTTTCGTACTACAAGGCTAAATAGAGTTTCGTGGTGGAAATGCATTAGTCAACCTACTGTCAAAATGCAAATTCAAATCCGTTTAAATTTACTGGAAAGGTATAGACAGCTGTAAGTACTTCACTTCATGAAATCAAAGGCAAGTGAAAGAGCTGGCAAACTACTTACCCATATTTCGTGCTGTTTTTTCACTTGATTTCTTCTGTTCTATACGAATACGTCTATTATTTAAAATCCATGTATCTACATTAATACTATCGTCATTAGAAATGACATCCTCCGGTCGATCTGTCAAACAGAAAGCGGCTTTTAAAAAGAAAGAGGAAAATTAAGAAAATGGCGTCTACTAAAAGCTTAGTTGATAAACCCCAAAATAACACAATTTGATGATTATCAATATGTTTGCCAGGTAACAGATTGGTATTCGGCTACTTTCCTCTACGCAAAAGTAAAGATTAAATCGACGAGACGGTGCCAGCAATGAAGCCAGCGAGCTGTGTAGCTGTCTTGGATGCAAAAATATCCCCCTTTGCCTTGTTGCTGGTCAATCAGAGACCTGCATAGCTTCCCTCTCAAATCCTAGGCTGGGGGAGGGAGAGGGGGAATCAAGCCGTTTTTACTGCAGTGGAAAAAACAACCCAAAGGGGAAAACGTGTCGCCGTCGTTATTATTTCGATAATTCCAATTCAGTGGCATGCATGATGAAGCATGTGAGAAAGATTTTGGGGGGAAAAAAGAACAAGGAACGCTGCGATTTTTGTCCTCCTCGGCGATCGCTGACTGAGTTGAGAGTATGCACTCACTCCATCTCGCTCCGTTTCTGACTAGTCCTGCAGTACTTCTCTTATAATCGTCTCACAAACCCATGCACGGGAGACCTCTACGGACTCGGCCGACTGCGAGCTCACTGCTGCCTCTACTTGTCATCAAAGTGCCGTGCACGAATATCCTTTACCTTGGTGCAATCGCGTTGCAGGCACCCTGTGTATGCCGACACCGGCAAATACATCGCCCCACCAGTATGCCTGGATTGGAAAATAAACCCTTAATTAGATTCTAGATTGCAAAACACATCATATGTCCATTTCACCTACGACCATTTCTTAATCTCGTATGTGTATTTTTAATAAAAGACCTAAAGAAATCTTGTTTTCCGAATTATAGCCTAATACCGTTTATCATCTATATAAATGTTTTAAAGGGACTATATCAATGCTTATAGTAGCCTAATGAAACTGGCTTTATTTCGTGTTCTTGAATATTAAGATCTCCGGAACACTTACGACGGGTAAACTATCAAAGCGAAATAACTGAAAATCAGGTGTTTTAGAAATTTTGTTCATTCGACAAAATGTGGTTACCTCAAATCGATCGTTCCTATCCGTCTTAAAAGTATTATGGTTGTAATGCAAACGATAAACTGTTTCCACGTTACTTCCATTTATTGGGTGGGGGTTACCACAGTACCCTCTACTGGAATAGTTGAGGATTATCTCTTCCCTTTCTCGTTGCAGAATCATACTGGGACGTAATACGTTATTTTAACGTGTTCCCATTGATTTATATTTTACATTAGAACCATAAATACGAAAGCATGTATCCAGCAAGTCATTCTTTTTACAGCTAAACATTTTAAAGTTTTATAAACTTTTGCAGTTGGACATTAATTGCATAGTTCCAAGTTCTCAGTTCGATGACAGAACTGATTTAGTCTTAAACTTACAGTGCAGTCCAAAAATATTTGGACAGTAATACTCTTTTGTTGTTTTGGATCTGTACAGTGGAATGTTGTTTTTGAAATGAAACAATGATTATGGCTATAAAATGCCGACTTTCTGCCTTAATGTGTTTACATTTGTATTAGGTAAACAGCTTAAGAATTGCGGTGGTTTTAATACATAATCCTCCTATTGTATATGGCCAAAGGTAATTACCATAAGCTGAAATGAAGTTATATTTAATCTTTATTCGCAGATCCTTTGTAGTCCATGACTGCCGGGAATCTATGTCCTATAGACGTCACCAGCTGCTTGGTATCTTCCATCGTGATGCGTTATAGTATTTCTGTACTACTAGCATTTTTTCCAGTTCTCGCTTGTTTTAGGGGCTTTTTGACATCAGGCTAATTTCAGTTGGATTGAGGTCCAGTTTTTGACTCCAAAAATTCTTTTCTTGCTTTGGCTGTATGTTTAGTATCACTATCCTGCAGCATGATGAAGTGTCATCCAACGGATCCTTCCATCCGCAGTGATATCATCAATGAGTACAAGTGAGCAGGGTTCCCTTGGCAGCCAAACATGCCTCAGCCATAACATTGGCTCCACCATGTTTGACGGATGAGGTGCTATGCTTTGGACTCTTCGGTATTTCCCACACGTTCTTCTTTCCATCACTCTGGTAAAGCCTGGTCTTTGTCTCGTATGTCTATAACATTTTATTCTAGAACTGAACAGGTTTTTCTTTCTATTTTTTAAAGGACTTTTTGCAAACTGTCACCTTCTATTCTTAAGGCTTACTAAGGGTTCTCATCTTTGAACTATTCCAACTATTCTCTCATTCAGAGTACAGGGCCAAAACAAAATATGTCACTGTCCGAAAACTGGACAGCACTGTATTCTTAGTAACTGGCCACATCATCTAGGCATTTTTGAGCAAACCTGAGTGCCTGTATATGTACCATTTCCTACCATTGTCCTTTCCTTGTCTTATGCATTTTTTGACAGTGGTTCCACAAGGTCCAGTCCTTGGCCTACTGTGGCTTGTCAGCTTCTCACTGCATCTCATGTTATTTTCATAACCTTGTTTTAGACATCACACTGGTTTTTCTGCTCTTGATATGCATTCCCACTGATACATCTTAGCATTTCTTGGAATAGCTGCCTGGACACCATGGAATATATCTTCTTGTATGAATATATGACACATGTACGCCTTTTTTGTTAATAGAGTGCATGGTTCAGCTGTGATTGAAATAACACCTGCTTTACATTTCTTCGCCGTGAGATGGATAAACATGACCGTGTGTCTCTCGTGCCTCATTGTAATTGGATGGAGCATTGTTCAAAAACCCTGGTGACTTAAATTATAGTGCTACAGGCAGAATTACAGACACCTAACTGAAAACCAATTGTAGCTGTGGACACCAAACACAAGCTAAAAATGGCTTTCAGGGTCTTTGGCTTTGATTCTATTTATTTGTCGCAACATTTGCTTAATTTTGCTTAATGATTGAGTCAGACCTTAATGTTTAAATGTTGCCCATCTCTCTTTTCCTGCAACCTACCTGTCTTGGCTTTACACCTCAAAGTGCATAGCTTTTGCAGTTAACAATGCTTGTATTTTCCCATGTATGTATAGCATTACATGGTCTGTAACTTCACATACATATTTTGCCTTAAGCCTTTTGGAAGCTAATGCCTTGGTTTCTGATATGCAACACGTCCCTCAGCATAGATGTATGTAATCAAAGGTAACAGTGTAACAGTTTGGCAAATTGAAACTTTGATTCCCTTTACACCTCCTAGAACAACTGTTAGTGCCAATGGGTTGCATTTAAAATGCAGGAAGGATTGCATTTAAAATGTGCCCTTATATACCTCTCTGTGGTAAACTGTTTTCTTCTTGGCCACTTCCTCCAATGGTTCACTGAGATTCTTCTGATCGGTTTTGGGGGGGGGTGCTAGCGAGGTGGTGCATTGCATCTTGGAACAGTTGGACCCTGCCTTAGCCTGCTGTTGGGTGTTAACGGAACCTTTCACAGGTGGTGCATCCTAAAAAGGGTGTATATGGTAAAAAAAAAAAGGGTGTATACGGTATATTCAGAAATGGGCGCTGTGAGAGAGCAACACAGTGAGCCGTTATATTGAGTGAAACAGAGAGGTCAAAGTTCGAGAGCGTACCGTTCACACGGTTCCTGAGAATGAACAAACAATTAAACAAACATATTATTGTGTTCTTTGGCTTTCCTCTTACAGGAAAGTGCTGAGAGATTAAATAAAGAACCATATTTTCTACAATAAAAAGCTTTCGATGAAAATATGTTCTGAGTCAAGTAGTTTCAAACACAGCTGAAATTCCTTCAAGCAAAACTCCTGTCGATGACAGAGCTGAATGATACACTCTGGTCTCTGAAGGCATTTCCAGCACTGCTTCTTCACAGATACAATAATTCAGTCTTTTTACTCTGATTTTTAGAAAATCAGATGCGCTAAGAGGCACAATGATACACATGATAGACATGTCATTAAATAATGTGCCTTTGGAAAAGCCATTTGAAGCAAACACAAAGAAATACTTTTGGAAAATGAAGACATTTACAGGCAGTGTTCATTTAAGCTACACTATAAGTCAACTGTATTTTAAATTCTAAAGATTCCAGTCCAGTTCACATTCAAATTAAGGCATAATAAAAGATCACATTTATTGTGTCACGCTTGCTGTTTATTAGATTTGAATATATAATTTTTAGAGAATAGATCACTCTCAGAAGAACACCAAAAATACATTGCAAAAAATATGAAAGCTCAAGGGCAGAAAGTAGGTTAGCATTTTCAGGATAACAATAGCAAAAATCAAGTGGGAATTCCAGTCAGAATCCACAATTTAATATGTGGTATGGCAAGTGTCCAGCTGTTCTCTTAACACCACAGTGATTTTAAACTGTTATGTTATCTCAAGAATTGGCTATCTGGAACACAAGTTCCAGCTCTGTTGACACAGATGCTTGCAGAAAGACATACACATAGCAGAATCACGGACTTTAGAAAACAAGGTGAATCTAAGGCATTACTGTGCCTCAGCAGTTAAAGGAAGCTGCTGTTGAGAAACCCAGTATTTCAACACTGACCTGCGGAACAGCAGCCCTTCAAGGCAGAAACACAAGAGCAAGATACTACGATGCTACATAACCAGGCACTAATGATCGCATTTGGGTGCTTTCAATGCCAGGTAACTACAAAGTTTGGTAGGCAGTGGAGTGAGCGGAGCATGGAAAGGACCGGAAGCTAGCAGGAACTTATCAGTGCCAGTAATCTAGGTCAGGAGTTGGCTAAATTCCAGTCCATAAGTCTCTCGAGACTGCAGGGTATGCTCATTTTCATTCTACCTCAGCTCTTAATGACTTCATTGAAGTAATTATTTGGGGGACACACTACCTGGTGTAAATCAGGTAGTAATAAAAACATACTCTGAAACCCGTACAGTTCTGACTGGAGTTGCCAGTCGTTGTGACAGCTGGATATATGGTTGAGGGTTAATGTATCCCCAGCTTTCATCGGCATTATTGAGGGCATCTGCTTGCTTTTTTATGGGACTGCTTGCATGAATTATTTTCTCACAGCCTCATTACTGGATTGATTGTGAAAGTGAGAAACAGATCTCTGATTCAAACCTGTTTCTGGTCCCCCCGAAACAGGAAATGGGGAACTCTAGTCCTCGAAGGTAGCATAGGCTGCTGGGTTTTTTTTCTTTCTTTTTATTATATTATAAAAACAGTTTTTTTAATGGTTATATCCTGGAGTTTGCAGGACAAAAGTAATGGCTGAGCTTCCCTGATGGAGAAAACGACTAATTGGCTAGGGTATCTTGGCTGCTCACTTCAGTACACTTTTATTGATCTGTCAGCCGCCAGCACAGAGCCACGCCGCTCCAGTGGCACATCTCTCCCCTACACAGTGATATGTGACTCACAGATTAAGGAAAAAGTGTTAGTGGTGACGTGATGCAGGGGAGCGCGCTCCGGCTTCCCAAAGATGGCTGACAGAGAGCGGATTACTGTGGACAGCTGTGCATGACACAGAATTCAAAAATAATAACTGGTCTGAAAAGCAGGGTGGTAGGGTAAGGGGGAGCATTTGATCAATGACTCAATAAATATAAGTGTAAAAATTCCAGTATAATTGAAACTATGGATCAAGTGTCCTTGACATGTCATTTCATTTAGTAAAAAAATATGTTTGCATCAGAATTATATGCAAAAATGAAGAATATTTTGTAAACATCACAACTAACCATTAATATTTCAAATAATCAACCTTCATATCTTTTAAGCTGATTCAAACGCTGATATGATGAAATAGAAATGGCATTATAGTTAAATAACAAGAATAGAATACAATTACATTTAATTTATTTTTATATAGTTTCACAACAGAGGCGTCCCAAAGTGCTTTACTTGAATGTGCTGTGATACATTACAATGTCATTGGAGAGAGTAATACAGAAGGGGGGAAAAGGAAGGAAAGAAATTAAAGAAAGAAAGCCAGATGACAATGGAGGAGAGGAACCAAAAACTCCCAAGTAAGGAGGAAAAAAACCCCTGGTGGTCCAAGGTCAACTGGCTGCCCCCCCCCCCCCCGGCATACTGACATCACTGAAAACAGAAAAGAGTGGACATGCTTGCTAAAAGCT